ACTGATTCCCATACAGGTGCCTGCGGAACCTTTCCACAGACTCATAATAGACTGTGTTGGTCCTTTACCTCGGACCAGTTCAGGTAACGCCTACATCCTAACCATCCTGTGTCCTACCACCAGATTTCCCATAGCAGTTCCAGTGAAGAACATCACGGCTGCTATAGTTATAAAACATCTATTGAAGATCTTCACTCAATACGGATTTCCCAGGGAGATTCAGAGCGACTGTGGTACCAACTTCACCAGTGATCTCTTCAAAAGGACACTGGAGGAGTTCAACATCAAACAGGTATTGTCCAGCCCCTATCATCCTGCTTCACAGGGTTCTCTTGAACGTAGTCATCAGACAATCAAAGCACTCTTGAAAAAGTTTTGTAGTGAAACCTCTAAGGATTGGGATAAGCAGATTGACCTTATAATGTGTATTTACAGAAGTCTCCCCAATGAGTCCCTAGGAGTATCTCCTTATGAGATGCTCTACGGCCGTAAGTGCCGTACTCCCCTTAAGGCTTTCAAAGACTCTCTCCGAGATGCCACCTTCAGTGAGCATCAGAATGTGCCCCAGTTTCTTCAAAACCTTCAACACATTCTAGAGAGTCCACCGTTTTGCCCATGATAATCAATTGAAAGCCCAGGAGAGAATGAAGACTCATTACGACCAGACCAGCAAAGTAAGAAAATTCAAGCCGGGAGACTTCGTCCTTGCATATTTCCCTATTCCAGGTTCACCTTTCCAAAACAGGTTTTCAGGACCCTACCGCGTCAAAGAGCGCAGGAATAATAACAACTACGTAATAGAGACTCCAGATAGGCGGCGGAAGACCCAGCTGTGCCACGTCAACCTCCTGAAGCAATATAATGGTACTCCTCCCACTGTCCTAATTAACTATTCCACCTTCACAGAACCCTACATCCACAGTGAGACCTTCCCAGCTTCTCCTCCCGAAAGCACTGACAAGGAGTCAGCGCTTTCTAATTCCGAAATCCTTAATGATCTTCCCAAATACTTTCAGGATAATCATAGTGCACCTCTCGTCAAGATCTTCAGAGAACATCAAGAGTTGTTCCGAGATGACCCCCAAGAGTGTAATGTTACCCAGCACGACATCCAACTGCTCCCCGACACCCGGCCGATTCGTCAACCCTTCTACCGAATCAGCCCGAGCAAGAAGGAAGTCATGCGTGCTGAGGTGCAGTACCTCTTGGATCATGGACTGGCTACACCTTGTGAGTCCCCCTGGGCCTCACCTTGTATCTGGGTGCCCAAACCCCAAGGTAAGGTGCGGTTATGTACCGACTATCGTAAACTGAACAATGTGACTGTCAAGGATGCTTACCCCTTGCCAAGGATAGATGACATCCTTGATGCCATTGGTAGTGCCCAGTACTTGTCCCAAGTGGACTTGCTTAAGGGGTACTATCAAGTGTGTCTAACGGAGCGCGCTAAAGAGATATCTGCCTTCATCACTCCTTTTGGACTTTTCAGATATGAACGCCTTCCTTTCGGACTATGTAATGCCCCGGCCACCTTTCAAAGAGCTGTCAACCGTGTCATCCAGGGCTTGGATAACACATACGCCAACCTGGACGATATCGTCGTAGCCTCCAACACCTGGAGTGAACATCTGCTCCAGCTGCGACGTCTGTTCTCCAAGCTCCTGACAGCCGGCCTCACCATCAACCTGGGCAAGTCCACTTTCGCGAAAGGTAAAGTGCGTTATCTGGGTCATGTTATTGGGAGTGGCAGCATAGCTCCGTTAGACTCACACACTCAAGCCATCCAACAGTATCCACAGCCTACCACCAGGAAGCAGCTCCTGCGCTTCCTTGGTCTTGCCTCCTACTACCGTAGGTTTGTGAGGAATTTCAGTACAGTCGCCACACCTCTAATTCTATTAACCAGTCCCAAGCAACGGTATAATTGGACCATGCAGCAAACCGTTGCTTTCGAACAACTCAAATTCCTCCTCTGTTCTAACCCCAATCTCGCCTCTCCAGATATCACCAAGCCTTTCGTCCTTCATGTCGACGCCAGTGGTACCGGCGTTGGTGGTGTCCTGATGCAACAACGAGGCGAGGAGGTTCTACCTGTCAGCTACTACAGCTACAAACTGAAACCACACCAGAGGAACTACAGCACTATTGAAAAGGAGCTACTATCCATCGTCCTGAACCTCCAACACTTCGCTCCGTACCTACAAGGCGCCAGGTCTACCACCATCTTCTCAGACCACAACCCTCTCCGCTTCCTACATCAAGCCCAATTCACCAACCAGCGTCTTCTACGATGGGCTCTGTATTTACAAGATTTCAACCTGGAGATCCGCTATATCAAGGGTTCTGACAACACCATAGCCGATGCCCTCTCCAGAGTTTATGAAGTAGAAGCGACTCCATCCATTACTCCACCACATAACGACGTACTTCTTCCAGAACCGCAGGCTTCGGGGGAGAGTTGTGACAATAATCTCCTTCAAGAGATTGAGCCTGCTCTTCCCTCCACAAATACGTCGCAACAAATATATAAAACTACTATGGAAGAAATGTCCAACAACGACAACAACATCTCCAAGGTTTGCCAGAGCGCAAAACGTATGCAGCCAGGAACACCTGCTCAGACTCAAACCGCCAAACTACCCGTCTGGCTGCCGGCTCCTCTGATTGGTCGCCGGTCGGGCTGCAACTGCACTCGCCCCCTTCATACTACTTGATGTCTGGGGCCGCCACGACCTCAGTCCTCAGAATGTTCCGTGCTTTCACAGTTAACACTTCTCCCTGCTAGACGTAAGCTTTAGCGTACGTATACTGAGAGAGGTGATAGCTTAAAGCCAATATTCCAGCACCTTTCATATACTTGTATATTGCACTTCTTGTTATTTTGTCTTAACATAACTTTTCATTGTGTCATTTAATTATTCTTATTATTTTGATTGATTGGTTTTATTATATGAATTTGTAAGTCCATTTTATTCATGTTTTGATTTATTTAACGTAATTAAAATTTCATTGTTAAAATTTACTTGTGTTTTGTGTGTCTTCTCCTTACCTTACCACAGACGAAGTTCCAGATTTTCTATTTTTTTTATACTACTATGTGACGAGGCCATACCCCTAGCTTTGAACAGCCGAACACCAACGCGTTTCGAACCTAAAAAACTCCATTCCTTAGTTCACACGTAAGTTCTCATTGATATTCCACATCCATGTGAATTCCATGTGTATAATTATGATTCTTATTATTATAATTAGTAGTATTAATAATAATATTGTAGGTTTTCGTACAATAATTTTTTATTATGCTAATTATTTTTTTGGCCGACCTAAGTGTGACTATTTCGAGTTGCTCATATTCTGAAAGGTTCTCTACATCAGTGTACTCACTAGGAAGGAGACGAGAGAGATATCAAATAATATACACATGGAAGATACTGTAGGGCCAAGTACCAAATCTACATAGTAAAATAATAACGTACTGGCGTGAACGATATGGAAGAAAATGCAGAAAAGAACCAGTGAAGAGCAGGGGTGCCATAGGCACAATCAGAGAACACAGTATAAACATCAGAGGTCCACGGTTGTTTGACACCCTCCCAGCGTGCATAAGAAATATTGCCGGAACAACCGTGGACATCTTCAAGAGGAAACTGGATTGTTTCCTGCAAGGAGTATCGGACCAACCGGGCTGTGGTGGGTATGTGGGCCTGCGGGCCGCTGCAAGCAACAGCCTGGTGGACCAAACTCTCACAAGTCGAGCCTGGCCCCGGGCCGGGCTTGGGGAGTAGAAGAACTCCCAGAACCCCATCAACCAAGTAATCAACCAGGTAATGTAATGTCAGCAAAATATGAAAAAAAATTAATCTTGAAGTGACAGTTTTGGTCGCCAGCCAGGCGCAAAAATGAGTTTAATAATTTGTCATATAACCGGCGGTAAGAGAGTCGATATTGTTCAGTTCATGTACCGGAAACATCTTTCTTGAAGTTACTCATTGCATTTACTGAATTTTAGTTCGTTTTTGAGGTTGAGAGAAGTACTTGCAAACAGAAGCTAAACAGAAGAATAAAAATTTTGAACTTTGCTGAATACACACAGATTAGACAAACCTGTTTTGTATGGGAGATTCTTCATGTCAGCCATTGAACACGAACATTAAATTCCTTCCCACTGAATTAACAGCTCCAAGTTTCTTAAATTTGCACACTAGTTCTCTGTACCCTGAGCCACACTTTCTCATACGCTCAAGCATTACCCAAAGCAATGGCATATTTTTCCTCCTCACAGTCAAGACTCTTGTTCCATTTTGTAGTCAACTGTAGTAAAATATTCGATGCTTCTGTTACCTACAAAAGCAAATGGCTTGCTACTTAGAGAGTATTTTTTTCAGAGAGCTTTCCAATAAATGAGTGTGAGGGTTTATGCCAATAGTTTTGTACTAATGTCTTACTTGACTTGGTGCAGACGTCTGCAACATTAGCCTTCTTCCAGATCAGAGGCAAGGTTGTGTGGTCAGTGCAAGCGTGGAAAACCAGCTGTAAGTGAAAGTTAGCATCACTGAGGGATGTCAGGACTTGTCATAGGAACTTGCCGACATGTGCTTCATGTAGACATTTTGTAACGTTTTCATGCGTGATTTTACAGGAAGATAAGCGCGGATTTTCATGTTGGAAGGTAGCTGAGATAGAGCTCTCACTTGGTCAGTAACATGCATCATCTTGCGAAATGATAACCAACAGGTGCAGCCATCTCAGAAGCACTGTGAACTATAATGACATCAGGAATGTTTAGTGTACATGGAGTCGTCTGATGGTAGTCCTTGTTGCTCTTACAGTGTGAGTCTTCGAACTTTACCATTGTTATTATTAGTATTGCGTAGAAAAATATTTGAATCCTGTTTTTAAAAAGATATGTCAATGAAAACGTTGCTCTCGTTAAATCTCTTATCTCTGATTACCTTATCAGGCAAATCTAGACGGTAATGTTATTTTGAATGATTGGACAGGTCATTATTTTCTCGTTGGAGAGAGAGAGAGAGAGAGAAACAAATAAAAATTAGATATGAAGTCAAGCCAGAGGAGGTCAAGCCAGTAAAGACCAAACCAGAGGAAATCAAGCCAGAGGAGATCACGCCAGAGGAAGTCAAGTCAGAGGAGTTTAAGCCAGAGGAGATCAGGCCAGAGGAGGTCAAGCCAGTGGAAGTCAAGCCAGAGAAGTTTAAGCAAGAGGAGATCAGGCCAGAGGAGGTCAAGCCAGAGGAAGTGAAGCCTGAGGATATGACGCCAGAGGAGGTCAAGCAAGAAGAAGTCAAGACAGAGGAGGAAAGCCAGAGGAGGTGAAGCCAGAGGAAGTGAAGCCAGAAAATATGACGCCAGGGGAGGTCAAGCAAGAAGAAGTCAAGCCAGAGGTGGAAAGCCAGAAGAGGTCAAGCCAGTGAAAGTCAAGCCAGAAGAAATCCAGCCAGAAGAGGTCAAGCCAGAGGAGTTCAAGCCAGAGGAAGTCAAGCCAGAGGATGTCAAGCCAGAAGAAATCAAGCCAGAGAATGTGAAGCCAGAGAATAGGAAGCCAGAAGAAATCAAGCCAGAGGAAGTCAAGCCAGAGGAGGCCAAGCAAGAGGAGGTCAAGCCAGAGGAAGTCAAGCCAGAGGAAGTCAAGCCAGAGAATGTGAAGCAAGAAGAAATCAAGCCAGAGGAGGTCAAGCCAGAGGTCAAGTCAAAGAAGGTCAAGCCAGAGGAAGTGAAGCCAGAGGAGTTAAAGCCAGAGGAGGTCAAACCAGATGAAGTCATGCCAGAGAAGGTCAAGCCAGAGAAGGTCAAGCCAGAGGAAGTCAAGCCAGAGAAGGTCAAGCAAGAAGAGGTCAAGCCAGAGGAGGTCAAGCCAGAGGAGGAAAAGCCAGATGAAGTCATGCCAGAGAAGGTCAAGCCAGGGATGGTCAAGCCAGAGAAGGTCATGCGAGAAGAGGTCAAACCAAAGAAGGTCAACCCAGAATAGATCAAGCCAGAGGAGGTCAAGCCTGAGAAGGTCCATCCTGAGGAAGTCAAGCCAAAGGAGGTAAAAATTGAGGAAGTCAAACCAGACGAAGTCCATCCAGAAAAGGTCAAGCTCTGAAAGTCAAGCCTGAGGAAGTCAAGCCAGAAGAGGTCATGGCAGAGGAAGTCAATACAGAGGAGGTCAAGCAAGAGGAAGTCAAGCCAGAGGGGGTCAAGCCAGAGAAAGTCAAGCCAGAGGATGTCAAGCCAGAAGAAATCAAGTCAGAGGAGGTCAAGCCAGAGGAGTTCAAGCCCGAGGAGGTCAAGCCAGAGGAAGTCAAGCCAGAGGATGTCAAGCCAGAAGAAATAAAGCCAGAGGAGGTCAAGCCAGAGGAGGTCAAGCCAGAGGAAGTCAAGCCAGAGGAAGTCAATCCAGAGAATATGAAGTCATAAGAAATCAAGCCAGAGGAGGTCAAGCCAGAGGAGGTCAAGCCAGAGGAAGTCAAGCCAGAGGAGGTCAAGCCAGAGTAGGTCGAGCCAGAAAAGGTCAAGGCAGAGGAAGTCAAGCCAGAGAAGGTCAAGCGAGAAGAGGTCAATCCATAAGAGGTCAAGCCAGATAAAGTCATGCCAGAAAAAGTGTAGCCAGTGAAGGTCAAGCCAGAGGAGGAAAGCCAGAGGAGTTCAAGCCAGAGGAAGTGAAGCCGGAAGAAATCCAGTCAGAGGAGGTCAAACCAGAGAGTTTTAAGCAAGAGGAAGTCAAGCCAGAGGATGTCAAGCCAGAGAATGAGAAGCCAGAGAATAGGAAGCCAGAAGAAATCAAGCCAGAGGAGGTCAAGCCAGAGGAGGTCAAGCCAGAGTAAGACAAGCCTGAGGATGTCAATCCAGAGAATGAGAAGCCAGAGATTAGGAAGCCAGAACAAATCAAGCCAGAAGAGGTCAAGCCAGAGGAGGTCAGGTCAAAGGAGGTCAAGCCAGAGGAAATCAAGCCAGAGGAGTTCAAGCCAGAGGAGGTCAATCCAGGTGAAGTCATGCCAGAGAAGGTCAAGCCTGAGAAGGTCAAGCCAGAGGAAGTCAAGCCAGAGAAGGTCAAGCGAAAAGAGGTCAAGCCAGAGGAGGTCAAGGCAGAGGAGGTAAAGCCAGATGAAGTCATGCCAGAGAAGGTCAAGCCAGAGATGGTCAAGCCAGAGAAGTTCATGCGAGACGAGATCAAGCCAGAGGAGGTCAAGCCAGAATTGATCAAGCCAGATGAGGTCAAGCCTGAGGAGGTCAAGCCAGAAGTGATCAAGCCAGATGAGGTCAAGCCTGAGGAGGTCAATCCTGAGGAAGTCAAGCCAAAGGAGGTAAAAATTGAGGAAGTCAAACCAGAGGAAGTCCATCCAGAGGAGGTCAAGTCAGAGGAAGTCAAGCCAGAGGAGGTCAAGCCAGAGGAAGTCAATCCAGAGGTGGTCAAGCCTATGAAAGTCAAGCCTGAGGAAGTCAAGCCAGAAGAGGTCAAGGCAGAGGAAGTCAGTCCAGAGGAGGTCAAGTTAGAGGAGCTCAAGCAAGAGGAAGTCAAGCCAGAAGTGGTCAAGCCAGAGAAAGTCAAGCCAGAGGATGTCAAGCCAGAAGAAATCAAGTCAGAGGAGGTCAAGATAGAGGAGTTCAAGCCAGAGGAGGTCAAGCCAGAGGAAGTCAAGCCAGAGGATGTCAAGCCAGAAGAAATGAAGCCAGAGGAGGTCAAACCAGAGGAGGCCAAGCATAAGGTGGTCAAGCCAAAGGAAATAAAGCCAGAGGAAGTCAATCCAGAGAATATGAAGCCAGAAGAAATCAAGGGGGAGGAGGTAAAGCCAGAGGCGGACAAGCCAGAGGCGGTCAAGACAGAGGAGGTCAAGCCAGACGAGGTCAAGCCAGATGAAGTCATGCCAGAGAAGGTCAAGCCAGAGAAGGTCAAGCCAGAGGAAGTCAAGCCAGAGAAGGTCAAGCGAAAAGAGGTCAAGCCAAAAGAGGTCAAGCCTGAGGAGGTCAAGCCAGAGGAGGTTAAGCAATATGAAGTCATAACAGAGAAGGTCAAGCCAGTGAAAGTCAAGCCAGCGAAGGTCTTGCGAGAAGAGGTCAAACCAGAAGAGGTCAAGCCAGAGGAAGTCAATCCAGAGGAGGTCAAGTCAGAGGAAGTCAATCCAGAGGAGGTCAAGCCTGAGGAAGTCAAGCCAGAGGAGGTCAAGATTGAGGAAGTCAAGCCAGAAGAGGTCAAGCCAGAGGAAGTAAATCCAGTGGAAGTCAATCCAGAGGAAGTAAAGCCAGAGGCGGTCAAGCCAGAGTAAGACAAGCCAGAGGAAGTTAAGCCAGAGAAGGCCAAGCCAGAGGAAGTTAAGCCAGAGGAAGTCAAGCCAGAGGAAGTCAATGCAGAGGAGGTCAAGCCTGAGGAAGTCAATGCAGAGGAGGTCAAGATTAAGGAAGTCAAGCCAGAAAAGGCCAATCCAGAGAAAGTCAATCCAGAGGAAGTCAAGCCAAAAGGAGGACAAGCCACAGGAAGTCAAGCCAGAGGAGATCAAGCCAAAGGAGGTCAATCCAGAGGAAATCAAGCCAGAGGAGGTCAAGACAGAGGAAGTCAAGGCAGAGGAAGTCAATCCAGAGGAAGTAAAGCCTGAGGAGGTAAAGCCAGAGAAAGTCAAGCCAGAGGAAGTCAATCCAGAGGCGGTCACGCCTGAGTAAGTCAAGCCAGAGGATGTCAAGATTGAGGAGGTCACGCCAGATGAAGTCAAGCCAGAGGAGGTCAAGCGAGAAGAGGTCAAGCCAGAGAAGGTCACGCTAGAGGAATTCAAGCCTGAGGAGGCCAAGCCAGAGGAGGTCAAGTCAGAAGAGGTCAAGAAAAAAGAGGTCAATCCAGAGGAGGTCAAGCCAGAGGAAGTCAAACCAGAGGAGGTCAAGCCAGAAGAAGTCAAGCCAAAGGATGTCAAGCCCGAGAAAGTCACGCTAGACGAAGTCAAGCCAGCGGAGGTCATGCCATATGAAGTCAAGCCAGAAGAGGTCAAGGAAGAGGAGGTCAATCCAGAGTAAGTCAAACCAGAGGAGGTCAAGCTAGAGAAAGTCAAGCCAGAGGTGGCCAAGCCAGAGAAGGTCAAGCCTGAGGAGGTCTAGCCAGTGGAGGTAAAGCCAGAGGACGTGAATCCAGAGGAAGTCAAGCCAGAAGAGGTCAAGCCAGAGGAAGTCAATCCAGAGGAGGTCAAGTTAGAGGTGGTCAAGCCAGAGGAAGTCAAGCCAGAGATGGTCAAGCCAGAGGAAGTCAAGCCGGAGGAGCCAGAGTGCTCCATACTGCCAGTTGCAGAGTGCTTCTGGCAGTATGGGTTCGAGTCACTTTTGGGGTGTGAGTTTTCAGTTGCATATATGCCTGGAGACCCTTCAGGCTTCTTCGCATATATATATATATATATATATATATATATATATATATATATATATATATATATATATATATATATATATATATATATATATATATATATATATATATATATATATATATATATATATATATATATATATATATATATATATATATATATATATATTAGTATATTTTGGTAGCAGTCTTTCCTGTAGACATATATTATTAAATATGACCGAAAAGTAAGATTAATAATTCTAACACGAATTTTCTCGATCTTTCGTACATTTCTTTTCACTGTTGGTGGTAATTCAAAAATCAATTCTCCAAAATTCATTTTTATTCTTAGTCTGACGCGACACTTGAGCGCGATTCGTAAAACTCTTTACATTTTCAAAGACTTTAGTTTACACATACACAACTGAATAGAACTTACACATCTCCGATTTGTTTATATCTACATTTGAGTGAGGTGGATGGGGTGAGGTGGTATTAATAGGGTATTAATTTCATCAACACAAGACAGAACGCGAAACAATGGGTATTGAATGGAAGTGATTGTAGAAAGCCTATTGGTCCATATTTCTTGATGCTTCTATATTGGAGCAGAGTCTTGAGGTGGGTAGAATATAGTTGTGCATTAATTGGCTGTTGATTGCTGGTGTTGACTTTTTAATGTGTAGTGCCTCGCAAACGTCAAGCCGTCTGCTATCGCTGTATCTTTCGATGATTTCTGTGTTGTTTACTAGGATTTCTCTGGCGATGGTTTGGTTGTGGGAAGAGATTATATGTTCCTTAATGGAGCCCTGTTGCTTATGCATCGTTAAACGCCTAGAAAGAGATGTTGTTGTCTTGCCTATATACTGGGTTTTTTGGAGCTTACAGTCCCCAAGAGGGCATTTGAAGGCATAGACGACGTTGGTCTCTTTTAAAGCGTTCTGCTTTGTGTCTGGAGAGTTTCTCATGAGTAGGCTGGCCGTTTTTCTGGTTTTATAGTAAATCGTCAGTTGTATCCTCTGATTTTTGTCTGTAGGGATAACATTTCTATTAACAATATCTTTCAGGACCCTTTCCTCTGTTTTATGAGCTGTGGAAAAGAAGTTCCTGTAAAATAGTCTAATAGGGGGGTAAAGGTGTTGTGTTAGTTGTCTCTTCAGAGGTTGCATGGCGTTTCACTTTCCTTCTTATGATGTCTTCGACGAAACCATTGGAGAAGCCGTTGTTGATTAGGAACTGCCTTACCCTACAGAGTTCTTCGTCGACTTGCTTCCATTCTGAGCTGTGGGTGAGAGTACGGTCGACATATGCGTTAACAACACTCCTCTTGTACCTGTCTGGGCAGTCGCTGTTGGCATTTAGGCACATTCCTATGTTCGTTTCCTTAGTGTAGACTGCAGTGTGGAAACCTCCGCTCTTTTCCATGACTGTTACATCTAGAAAGGGCAGCTTCCCATCCTTTTCCATCTCGTAAGTGAAACGCAGCACGGAACTCTGCTCAAACGCCTCCTTCAGCTGCTGCAGATGTCTGACATCAGGTACCTGTGTAAAAA